TGCCACCATTTGAGAAACTCCAGATATCCATCCATGGGAACTCACTTAGTGAAAATGAACTTGTTAACATAAATGAAGAAGTAGGTGTGATGGACAGGATTATGTCCCAGAGAAAGTGAAAACAGCAAAACATTTCACATTAAAATATCTCAGAGATATTTCATGATTTTGAAAGTACAGAGGTTTTGGAAGCTGATCTGAATTTAGCATGGAGTGTGACAATTTGCCAAATCATAGAAGAAATGGTCACTCTATAGTGAAAGTTACATGATAAGAAGGGACACTGCTCAAATTACTCTCAATATTTTTTTACTTTTGCAAAGGAATAAACCACTTTAATTTTCATTGTTGCTAACATTTTAAATTAGTGTACTACATAAATACTAGTTTTACTACTTTTTTCATTTCTCTATACTCTTATATGCAACAGTAAGAGAATTTTTGTTTTGTTTTGTTCTGGTTTTTGGTGGCTGGCTGGAACGGGGATCCAAACCTGTGACCTTGGTGTTACCACAACCACGTTCAAAATTTTTAATGTTTGACAATTTTTAAAGATCTAGAACAATCATATTTTACTCTTTGAATATTAACATTGCTTTGCATGATTTTGGTTTGCATGGTCATTTTTAGGGTCCCACACAACTTTGCAAAGTGAGGACTGCCTGAACTGTGTTTTTCAATGGCTAATTAACATTCTATAATATGGATTTAGCATTATTTCTCTATTAATGGACATTAAGCTTGTTTGAAATTTTTTCACTGGTACAAACAATGCTGCAATAAATATCCTTATACACATCTTTTTTGTGCATCTGTATTGTTAGAATAAATTCTAAGAGTGAGGGATTATTGGGTTAAAGGATACGTACACTCATGGGTTTTTTGCACATTCACATTTTGATACATACTGCTAAACTGCCTGCAGACAAGCTATACCAATTTATACTCCACCAACAGTGCCTCAAAGCTCCCAATTCTCCATCCTGTGGTGAACAATAAGCATATTTTATCATCATTGCTAGTCTGACATCTCACTGTTGTTTCAACTTGATTACCAGGGAAATTAAGTATCTTTGAGAGATAAGATTTTGTTTGTTTGTCTGTTTTGGTGGCTGGCTGGATTGGGGATCCAAAGAGATAAAGTTTTAAAAAGTTACTTGAAAACAGAGTTCCCTAAAGATTACTGATGTTGAAAGTAGACAGAGCATTTCCTTACTATAGGGGCATGATGATACCTTGATCCATGAGAAATCCTGTGGTGGCAGCCACCAGTCCAACTCTCTAGGTAGCAATTAAGAGTCTGGCGACTCATTTTAATTAAGCTAAGGTATAAACAAACAATGATTTGAAGAAAGAGTGTAGAGAAAAAATGGCAGGACTCTGTAAATTGGTGACTACTTGTTAGCCAGATGGCTTATTTTTAAAGGTCTATGGGTCATATTTTCGTCTTTCAACTGAAGATATACACACAGTCAGATTTAAAGATACACAATCCACTATCAGATATAAAGGTAAAAACAAAACTTCTAGCGTAAATACATAGTATCTTGGGTTTATTAACAGCTTCACCCCTGAACTCCCCAAACTAACCAATCCGTTTATAATTAATATCAGGCACATGCCATATACTCATCATTTTGCTATAAATATGGGACTACAAAAACTTTGCCCTCACCATTAACAACAGTATCTGTTTAGCAAGTATATTTTATATGCCAGGAACTGTAGGAGAGATTTCACCTATGTGTCTCATTTAATCCTTACAATCCTGTAATATAGGCATTGTTAATTTCACTGTATAGATGTGAAATTTGTACTCAGAATTATATACTTATTATCAGGTCAAGATTTGAACCTGTAGTTTTCTGATTCCACATTGCTACACCAAATTGTTTAAAATCCAGTTTAAAACCAAAGAGGAATTGTAGAGAAAAATTAGGTATAAAACTGTGTGGTCTTGATAGTAATATAGTATAGGTTTTTATGGACTGAATAGTCAATTAGATAGATGGGTATTTAGAAGATCCTGAGCAGCTCTGGGAGCAGAAGAGTTATTCTTCTAAGTGTTGGGAGACAGAGGCAGGCCTGGGAAAGAGATGGTTGAAGGAGCTTTGCCAGGGTTTCATGATAAAAGGACAAAATTTTATGGCTGAGCAAAGGGAGGAAATGACAGATGTGGCCCATCTGGAGAGTCAGAACATCAGGGCTGGTGGCATAGGTTCTACTGTACTGATGAGGTAATGTAAGATAACACACAGTGCAAAAAAAGGGTTACTCTAGCTAGTTAACCAGTCTTTTGTACAGGTGTTGACATTTGGCAGAAAATGGCAAAATAAAAATGTTTGGTTTAACCTGGGTCTATCCAACTTTTAAGAAACCGAGGCAGCAGATAACAAATACAACTCAAAATCTAGAGAAATCCTCAAGCACCAGCAGAATGAATTGAAACAGAAATTAGAATGTTGTTGGGCCGGCCCGGTGGCGCACTGCTACAGTGCGCCGCTTGGGAGTGCGGCGGCGCTCCCGCTGAGGGTTCGGATCCCACATACAGACCGGTTCCCGCTCACTGGCTGAGCGAGGTGCGGGCACAGCACCGAGATTTGCGATCCCGTTGCCGGTCCTGGTCCGGTACGGGCGCAACACTGAGGGTTGCGATCCGTTGCCGAACACGAAAAAAGACAAAAAGGAAAAAAAAAAAAAAAAGAAATTAGAATGTTGTTGGGCCGGCCCGGTGGCGCACTGCTACAGTGCGCCGCTTGGGAGTGCGGCGGCGCTCCCGCTGAGGGTTCGGATCCCACATACAGACCGGTTCCCGCTTACTGGCTGAGCGAGGTGCGGGCACAGCACCGAGGTTTGCGATCCCGTTGCCGGTCCTGGTCCGGTACGGGCGCAACACTGAGGGTTGCGATCCGTTGCCGGACACGAAAAAAGACAAAAAGGAAAAAAAAAAAAAAAAGAAATTAGAATGTTGTTGGGCCGGCCCGGTGGCGCACTGCTACAGTGCGCCGCTTGGGAGTGCGGCGGCGCTCCCGCTGAGGGTTCGGATCCCACATACAGACCGGTTCCCGCTTACTGGCTGAGCGAGGTGCGGGCACAGCACCGAGGTTTGCGATCCCGTTGCCGGTCCTGGTCCGGT